CTGGACTGAAAGTGATACAGGTGATCCATCCTTTAGAAAACAAAGAAAAGTCTATAAAACTCAGTTTGCCACTTCAAACAGAAATACAAGGGCTTTCTCCTTTCTAAACCTTGGCTTATATATCAAAACTCCATGGCTTGGGATATTGATATAAGCACTTGCAGTGTTATTAACACAGCAAGTGCTTATAGCAATACCCCAAGCCATGTTCAGATTGCAATAGAAAATGATGACTCAGAAGACATTCACATGAGGATACCCTTGGCAAAGGGGAATAAGCACGCACTTTTGAGCAGTTGGATGATCATGCTCACAAGTCACTAGGGAGAGGAGTACAGCACAGTGGTAATCCGGCAAGAAATGCAGATGCACACGAGAACCTGGAGGGAAAGTGCAATGTGCAGTCAACAGTACAAAGAAATGGATGGAAAGGGGGAGTGCAAGTGTTCATGATCTTGTGGAAAAAGAGGGGTCCAAAGGGAAAAGCATATGAATGAGCATCCTCACAGAGGGGGGAACTGGAGGAGAAAGCTGCCTGCGTGGGGCTAAGAAGAGGAAACGAAGACGATGAATGGAATTTCAAGCGAAAATGGGTAGCAGTGCTTCCTGTGGAGAAATAGTATATATCCACAGGCATTCAGGAGGGGAAACAGTAAAAAAATAAAAAAAAAATCCAAGGACAGAACTTCAGCTGACTGCACACAAGGAAATTTTACTTCTAGCTAGCTTGCTGACACTTATTATTCAGAAATGAAGTGTGTTTGCACATCCCAAGCTCCCCAGAAAAGAATTTTTCTAATAATTAAAATAGTTAACATCCTCTGAAGAGAGACATTACATACAGGGAAGCACCAAGAAAATTTATCAGGCTATGTTTATAGAAAGGAAGGGGGTGGGAAATGAAGTGTTTGCAGACACAAAACTAGACAGGGTAGTAAATGAAGGGAAGGGAGGGGGGAAGGAAGTAAAGCAAAACCAGGGAACTGCTACTCATCTGGGGTTTGTTAAACACTACGTGACAGGCAGGGAATGCTGATGGATGGCTTCTTTGCATTTGGTGCCACACTTTTAGTGCCTTTCCAAACTGACAACTTTTGCCCTTGTCTGAGGGAAACGACACTCCTAGGGACGCTGAGGGTTCTGGACTTAAGCAACTGTGCTGTAGGTGAAAGCACCCAGAGCAATGGCTGCAAGGCTCACAATCTGCAGACAGAGCACGTTGACACAGCCTTTGGGCTCCTGGCTTTCTTCTTCCCTCCCCCTCCCATCTAAACTGGTGAATGGCTCCATTTCATTGAGTCTGAAGTGGCTACAGCCCAGCCCACCCCATCCTCAGGCACAGAATAGTTGAAATCAGAGCACACACACTTGCATAACATCTCCACACTCTGCAGTCACTGCACAAGCAGCTGCACCAACAGCTCAAGCTGCAATTCAGCCACCAAACAGCCCTGGGAGAGGGGTAGGAAGCGACTTTTGCTCTTATCTTCAAGAGGGGAAGCTGATGTGAAACTTGGCATGGCCACTGCTTAAAAACCCAAAGTTTTTGGGTCGCAGCCAAGCCTCCAAGCCAATGGGGCAGAGGCTCCCAACTCTGGAGCTCTCCCACCCTGCTTCAGGGCAAGGGCAACCGCACCCAACACCATCCCCTGCCGGCATCCTTTCCCTCCCATTCACCATCATGTAACATCCCCAGGGCAATTGCTCACATGGAAAAGCAACATGAGGAAAGTATTTAATTATATTATGTGTGTTTACATCTTTCAATATAATGTAGCAGCTGGAATCAAAGGTAGAAAAAATGCACATGAGCAGTGCAGCACTTCAGAGCCCCCTCATAATCAGCACTGAACCCCAGACCACAGCTTTAGAAATCAGGCTGTGGCCCCAATTGCCTAATTAGCGGAACAGTGCAAAGCTTCGGAACAGGCATATCTTCTTCCTCCCTAAGTGGCCACTGAACAAATACCACGTCCCCAGTTCACAGACTCTTTTTACATTGCTGGCATTACCAGTCCTTTGTGTACCCACATGCTGTTACTTAAATTGCTTCCATGTTTTCATTACTTGCCCTCTGCACTGTGTGTATTCAAACTCTTGCAAGAATGCTGACGTGGTGTTTCAAAGCACAGGAGATGTGGCTGAAATTATTATGCAACAAACTTGAGTGATTCTTCTAGCCCTAATAGAGCTTGTTCCTCCTTCTGGAGGAAGATAAACTCATTATATGAGGTGTAGGACATTCCACTCTCAAAACACGAGCATGGCGTTTGCAGTGCTCTCCATCCTTATATGCCAGTCTGTGGGACCCATATAAATGTCTCTCATCCACAAGCGAGGAGATAACAGCACCATGTCCATGCACAAGATAAATGTACACACCGGGCCAAATTCTCCTGGCAGAAATTCAGAGGACAGTACAGTGACACTACCTGCATATCTGCCCCGTGAGTTTGAATGCATTATTCCCTGCTGCTGCTGCTGCCACTATTTGCTTTTCTTGAGTTCATGTTGATTAAAGCAACCTAACCCTGAAGGAATGCATGTGACTGCAAGATCAAAACCGCCAGAATTATTTGAATGTGACAAACACACTGAAACCTCTACCACAGTTCTCTCTGTTTCTGCAAGTATCTACAGAAGCCAGCTATGTGCATCTCTCTCCCAGGAAAGCCCACAGATGGACCATTCAAGTTGCAGCTTGCCTTTTCCTCCTATCTGTATTTCCACAGAAAACAGAAAACTGTAGCTGCCAGAAGACATATGTAGCAGCCATTAGAGCAATCACACTGCCAGTGCTGGAGTACTTTTCCCATTGATTTTTGACTTACTTCTCATGCAGTGCCTTTCATTACCCCTCAATGCAAGATGCTCAGAGCCAAGATATGATTGTCTAACCCACAGGCCAAGAGCCAGCTGCATGTTAAATCCCATCTGGCTCTGGGCACACAGGATGCTCACCACCTTGGGGATGTAGGATGCAGCTCCAAGCATCAAACCTCTCAAGATCACAGCCCTGTGGTCCTCCAGGTCCCTGCAGGGGACTTGTCTCCGCCACGTTGCCTCCAACACGCTTGACCCTAGCTCAGCAGCTGCTGCATGGCAGCCGTTGGGTGTTATGATAATCGATTCGCCGGTGCAACGGGCCTCTTCCCATCTGCTCAGAGCATCCACCTGCTGTGTTTTCTCTATTTTTTTTTTTTTAATGGTTGGATTAGACCAGTTCTTACCCAGAGTGCTTGCAGCCTCTGCACCCAGCACAAACCAGCTCACAACAAAAGCTGAATTCGACCTCACTCAGTCCACAATCCTTCCCTTTCCAACTCCTTATCTTTCTGCAATTATAGTCACCCTGAAGATAACCATGCTACTTTCATTCCCTTTCCTTACCCCCCTTGGTTTCATTACAATTTGTTTTGTTTATTTAACCTTTTTGAATGTCTACATAGAAGAATGAGCTTGCCTTCCATACTCATCTAACTGGGAAATAAAGATCCAACTTCTAAACAATTTCTCCACAGCTCATGTGAGGTAAGCAGTGATTTACAAGTCTTCTTTTCTTGCCTGGCCACGGAGGAATTGTTTGTGACTGTCTCTGAGCACATTCTTACATGAGCACTTGTCCTTCTCAATAACTGGAAAACCCATTCCCAATGTGTTATTGGACCAAAACTCTTCTGTGCTGTTTTTCCATGAACAAGGAGTATGCAATTTACCAATGTTCAAAGAAGAAGTACCCTTGCTTTTCCCCCAACAAGTTCAGCTTCTAAGAGAAGTACTCTCAGTGAGTGATGTTAATCTTCATGGGATCTACCCAGTGTCAGTGGGAAATGCTTCTGCTTCAGAAAATGATTTTGAGCTGTCAATGGACTCAGATTGTGAAGGAGACTGTCTCCTGACAGGGCAAGTAGCAAGTAGCCTACTGCAGGCTTAAAGTAGCCAATTGTACATATGAGGTGCAGGAGAAGTGGCATCTCGTATACAGCAAGGGATCAAAGCTCACTGAGCTGCAGGACCAAGTCAACTCTAAGATTTAAACAGGTGGAAACCTACATCCCCTACATGAACTTGGTTTGGAGTTATTCACAAGTCTTTCATTAAACTTGGATCAGTGTCTGAACTCACCACGATGCCCACGTGCTCCTAAACATACAGGGCAAATTATTTGCATTGTGATGCAACCTGACCATGGTTCCTTGGACGCCTAGGGCAGAAAACACTTCTACATCCAAAATAACATGAGCAGTAACAAGGGGTCACTCCCCCAGTGCTGTTTAAAGCTGTTTTTAAAAGAAACGTCATTCAGATAAGTGTGAGACATATCACTGAATATTAAGCCAACTAGAAAACAAAAACAATATTAATGGAAACAACTAATACATAGCACTAATTTTTCCTTATGCCTAGTTGAGTAAATTATTGAGAAAAAAAAATACCATGCCAAAATTTCTTTCCAGAAGGGTATTTCAAACAGATTAGGCTTATAATGAAAGTATTTCCTGAAACATAACTATAGTGGTGCTAGCACATTGCTGTAAACAAGAATAATGGAGCTGTTTGCTTGGTATACATTAGTGGATTTGATTGTTCTCTGTGCACACACCTGTATTTTAAAAATGTATTCAGAAGCTTTAGCTGCCAAAACACTCCACGTATTAGTGCTTGGACAAAAAGCAATCAAGAAGTGGGCTCCACCATTCATTGCTCATATAGCAATTAATCTTAAATCTCAATCATGCAAGCAGGTAACAGAGGCACAGCTGAACATCTGATCCTTTCCCATCTGGTTTATCTGAAGGATAGCTCAAGATCAGCACACAGCACAGTAGGATGAGACCTGCATTGCATTGCATTCTTTACAATCGAGTAGGGCTTTGCAAATGGTCTGAAGGTTATGTGATGGACACACGTGCCACAAATTTCACCCCACCCTCTCTTCTTTCTTTCAGGACAATCTCTGATTTCTCTGAAGGGGAAATACAGAAAAGCGTAGGACTTACTTTCTTTTTGGAGTGTCCTCTGTCTTCTTCTTTAGCAGCTTTGCTATTTTTCCCAGCTCTGGAAAGCTTCTGCTCCCCGGACTGCTTGATGGTGATTTTGATCTCTGGTGGGCAAATATAGTTCTCCAAGTTCTTTGGGGGCTTCTTCGCTCTCTTGGTCGTCTGGATCTTTAGTTTCAAACTCCCCTCTGTGAAGTTTGCCTCTTTGATGGAAAACTCCTGCTCCTCCAGTCCATCTCCTGCCACCCACTTCTCGCTGTCTGCATTGGAAGTGGAATCCACATCTCTCCCAGAACCCATCTCATCCTCTTCTTCAGGCTCCATACGTTCCCCGCTCACCGGAATCCCTTTCCCCGAGCCAGCTGTCGGCAGCACTGTCTCCCCTGTGCAGCTGGAGGCAGACGGTGGTTTGGCAGAGGACACAGAGGCTGGCAGAAAATCCGCTTCACCTCCCCTTTGACGGGAGCTGCCCAAAGACTCCCTGGGCTCCATAGCAGGACCGTGACACACTGGAGTTTTATTAGAGGGAAGGGCAGTGCAGAAGGTGATGGGGAAAGAAAGGGCAGTTATGATCCCAAGGAATGAATGGTAACTGTCTGTCAAAGTCAACGTCTCAATGGCCCAGAGTCTGCAAGTAGCTCAGAAGAGATCAGGTCTGCCACTGTTGAAAGAAAAGAAAGAAAAGGAAATTAACACACACACACATGTTGAACCCAAGTATGGGAATAAGTGAAACATGTCATAGTTGGGCTTCTCCTGTGATATCTGAAAAGCTTTCCATGACACAAAGTGGGAACAGAGGATGGCTGGCATTTCTGACATCTGGATCTGGTACCAGAGAACAGCCAAGCCAAAGAAGCATTGTCATATGCATCTCTGAACTGATGAAAATGGATATTAAAAAGTAAATTAAAAGAAACATTTAAATGTAACCTCATTCATCTCTGACTTGGGACAGAAGTGAGAGAGAAGCCAGCTATTATTCCTATTCCAAGATGCTCCTCATCGCTAAGTTTTCAAAGAGGAGAAGGAAAAAAAAATATAAAGATAGGGGGAAAAAAAAAAGAAAAGAAGGATAAACATTTGCCCTCAGTGATCAGAAAATATAGTGTTTCCCTATGAAAGAGACAAGAGAAAACCTAGCTCCATTTCCACACTTTGCAGATCTGAGAGATGCAAGGGGGTTGCTGGCTGTACTGTGGAGTGCTCCACTTTGGGTGAATTCTTTGATATTTTCTGGGCCAGGCACAAACTCTCTGGGGTCTGAGATGAACCCTGAGATTCTGCACAGGAGGAGGAGACACCTGCATCATTTTTAAAACATGATGTAAGTGTTGAGGGCAATGGAGGAAAGATGAAGTCAATGTCTTCCAGTTTCCCTTCAGTATGCCCTTGGTTACCAGTACTCTGTAGAAAAAGCTCAAGTCCCCAGAAGCAACAACGGTGCTCTCACCCCTCCAAATGTGAACTTTCTTTGAGTCGTTAGACAGACTCCCCCAGGATAGAAGCACTCAGCTTGGCCAAAGTTGGTGGGAGAAGATGTGAATATTCAGCTGAGGCAGAAGATGCATCATCCACATATGCAGACTAAGCCAAATACTTTGTTAGGAAAAAAGAAAAAAAAAAAAAGAAAAGAAAGAGAGACAGAGACACTCAAAGTGTTCTTAAAAGCATGAAAAGTTTTTTGTACATTCTCTCTCTAACGTCCAGCAAATAACTCTCACCTGTGTAGCCACCACAAAAAGCCATTGTAAATTTTTACCTTCATTAGCAGCAGAACATATCAGAGAGAAATAAAGATTTTTTTTTTTTTTTTTTTTTTCTACTTTACTACCCCAAAATGGCTCCCTGATGGATGAGAGGAATAGCCCTTTTGGAGCAGTGAGAAGCACAGAAGAAGACGCTGTCAGGAGTAAGAGCTGGCAGCGCAGACCTACCTTCGTAGCAGCAACTCCCTATTAGATGAGCTCTGCTGCACTGCCAAACCCCACCCCTTGACCAACTGCAAGCAGAACCGGAGTACAGTCAGGGTTTTCTCAGGCAATTCTTAATCAGAATAAATTGTAAAAACAAACAAAACAAACAAAAAAAAAAACAATAACAAAACAACAACAAAAACCTAGCTACTTATCATGAAATTGTAACTGCACTATGGGTGGACTCTTCTGCTTTAATACATAATTCATCCAGAAACTCACATGTCCTTGTGCCACTAACTTCTTTTTGCTCTTTATAAATACCTTGCATAAGCTTAAAGTTCAGGAAGAAGTAATAAAAAGCATTATTTCTTAAGTTACATAAGTTACACTTATAAGATGTGTTTCCATCTGAGTGTGACCATAGGTCGCTTGTCCAGCTCTGGCATATACGGTTTGTAATGGAAAGTCCGAAGTATCTTACAGCTCTGTGAAGTCATTGGGTGGCCTCCACCCATATCCCAGCAGACACAAATCAAATAAACTTCCCATAAATAGCACAAACTGACAGCACAAGCAGAAAGGAAAAAAAAAAAAAAAAAAAAAGCGTCACGGAGCCTGAACTGCTATCTAGCCTTAGAAATACTTTCTGAAGCTCAGAGTAAATAGAAGTATCTTGCTAGAGCATCACAAAAGAACTTATGCTTAAAGCTGTGCACATCTTCCGGCAACAGGGAGGAGATTCATTTCCCAGAGCTGCTGTTCTGCTGGTTTTACTGAAGATGATCTTGAAAAACTAACAGGCCCAGTCTCCCACACATCTACCTTGACTCAACCTATGGTCAGCAAGTCTCTCCCTTTCACCACCAATGAAACAAGTATAATGCTTATTTCATTCAAATCTATTGTAGGGTGGATTAGTTAATGCTCTTACATTGTTTTGAACCCAAGTGTTTACCATGTGGTACTCACTAATTACTAACGCAATTAGTACATTAAAGCCTCCCAGCTGAAAGGAGCTGCTCCACCTAATTGACTGACCTTGCACCTTGCCTCTCCTTTCTGCCTATGGAGGTGATGGGAGCCAAAGTTACCTTCCTCTTCTAACCAGTCCAATAAAAAAAAAAAAAAAAGCCAGCCTATTTATCTGCCATTTCACAGTGTTAATCTCCTTAGAGAAGGACGCAATGTACACACACTTCTGTGCTGCAACACAAACACAAGGTGGTAAAAGCTCAGCAGTGCAGCATTCCAGGGAGTTACTGCTCTGGTATGCACGCATGTACAATGGGCACTCTGTGCTGGTCTCCGCCCACAGACTTTTAACCTCTCTCGATGCTGGTAAAAAAGAGCAGGTTTCTCACAGAGAGCATCTGCCCCAGCAGGCAAAGGCAGTAGGATGCGGCCTCAACACCCTCAAAATACAAAAGCATGAAGAAAGAACCATAGGCTGTGATGGGACGAACAGCTCTCTTGGGGCATTATGTTGAGTGAGACCTGAAATATAACTCCTGACTCTGATCTGGGAACGGTCTTTCAGGTTTGGAATCACTCGGCTGTGTTTTATGGAGGGTTTATAAAAAGCCATGTTTCCGCCCCGTGTGTCAGCCTCAAGCTCTGGATCACCATGTCCATTGCTTATCCCAGTCCAGGTGTGCAGCTCAGGGTAAGTGGAAACAAGCAATGGGAGAATAAAGGCATTGCATTATGCCACTGTCAGATGTGTTCATGCCAAAGCCAGCTTTAAAATCCTGCTTTAAAATATTGGCCTTCTGTCATGCTAAGACTTGGCAGATGATGATATCACGAGGCCAGCAGGTAGTGACAAATAACCCTGCACTAAAACGCCAAGCAGAATTAACTGGGTCATTGTTTTAGGTATCTCCTTACTCTCCTTCAGGGTTAATAGTTAAATGACTCGAGTGCAGGGACATTATACTTGTCTTTCTTGTTTGGGCAGGATACAAGTGCTTGGATTAATTAGGAAACCTCACTTCAGACTTCTTAACAAGTAACCTCCTGGGTGAAGTCCTGACCTTCTTCAGTTTGGGGCATACTGCAGCTCTGTAGGAGCTACTCAGCTCTGAGTTTTCGTCAGCAAGGTTTCTTCCTGATGGCACTCCCAAAGGATACGGAGGTCTGAGCTTTCAAACTGAAATTAAAAGTAGAAATCAAGTTGAATCTTGGAGAAAAGATTTTAAAAATCAAGCTCCTAGATTGTTTGTGAATGAAATTCTCTCAGATTCTGGTTCAGTTCTTATCTCCTGGACTTCTCTTTCTTCGTGTACATGTGTTTACATCTCCCTGACTTTGGACTGGCCTACAGGCAAGAGCACTGAAGGGAAAATAGGAATCGCTTGTGCTCCATCAGTTCTTCTGCCTTAGCTGGCAATGTAAAGACCTGGAAAAAGAAGAAGGATGCTGATTTTCCAAGAGATTGTTAGCTGCATTTTCAACACCAAAGATACAAGGGCTGCTGAGGCTTCTAAGTGCTTACCCACACTGCCCTCCCAGGCTCATGGGCATCAATTCCTGTTCAATAAGCATCTACAGAGGTATTTTACCATTCAAATTAGGCTCCCAGAGGAAAATGTTACCACTAGAAAGCTTCCTGTAGTCAAGTTAAATTGCAGGAGGATAATTCACAGGTGAATGACAACAAATTTCACAGAAGTTGGCATTAGCTCTTAATTAGGGAGCAATTCACAGTTCCTCTGATAAGTACTGAAAAATAATCGAATGCTCAGCCTGGCTGCTCACATGTCTCTCATGAGCACATCTGGGCACCTCACTTCACCTCAGACGCGCTCCTGGAGGCAAAGGCCTGAAGGAGAAGACCTTCCTTTGGGTCATGTAGGTGCTTGCCATTAAGGCTTCCGATGCTCTATCTTTTCCTGCCTCAAGCAACAGCTCACACTTGCAAGTATTTGGGTATCAAGGCTGATAAGTGATTAAAGTGAAAATTTGCTAAGGACAAAAACGAAGGTGAAAGTAGAAAGCTGGTGCTAGAAGGGGAGAAATGTACCTGTTTGTGATGCTCCAAAAATGAAAGCGAGCATAATGCTTGACTCAGCTTTTGCCTGATGCCCAGAAACAATTGCATTTGTAGCAAGCAAACAGAAGCACAGAGGCATCACTGCCTAGGCAAACACAGGCAAGCTGGGTTCAGCTGCCCAGTGTTTGTGCTGCTGCTCTCTCTGGTTTGCTTAAACACAGGGAGCACCAGCAGAGAGCTCAGAGCAATTTAAAGAGATGTTGCCCCAGTCCCACTGTACACTAATCTCAAGTATAACTGTAGCTACAGAGGTTGCCTTTGTTTTACCCATGGAGTTCAAAATGCTTCAAGAAGGAAATGAAATTTATATGTATGTCTGCAAATAAGATGTATGGACAAGGGGAAACTGAGGCACACTCAAGTCTGAGAACATTGTGCTGAAAGTGAAATGGAGCTCACGTCCACCAAATCCCATATTCACTGTGTTGCCTTTGGGTCTCACATTTCTCTCATGCAACAGACAGTTATGAAATCCCTAATCCCAGCAAAATACCAGGAATACTGGAAACTTCCTTATGCTCCATCTTTTTAAAACCATTCACCACAAAGCACTGGAGACTATGCAGCAACATTTAATTATGACATATCACCTTTCACTCCAAAGACTCCTAGGTTGCTTCCTTGATTATATATGCCACTGCTGAAATACAGCTGACACTGAGATAGAGGCCATTGGACAACCCGCATTAC